CTTTTCATTGTAAATATAGAGTAGTTTTGCTGCATTTTCTTTAAGTGTGATTTTCCAGCTTTCATAGGTCTAGTCATGTAACTTTGGTTTATTTTTTTTAAGCATTATTAAGGGGGACCAAGCAATCAAAACTTTCAAGCAAGCAAACAATTCTCTGTACTGGTGTCTCTCACCGACACCATCTTGTTTTCTGTAATAGCTTTCATTCAATGCAATCAAGCTTTCTTTCATTCTCAATTCTTCTTTTCTGCTCTCTTTCAATTGCTCATGACATTGGTTTTCCCGTACGGCACTGACAATCTAGTCTAGCGTACGGAGGGGACCTCAGTTGGCGGACAGCAACCGTACTGACATCGGTTGCCTAGCCTTACGTCGCCCTTCCAAGGAACTTCAGGAAGGCGCCGCGTAACACTAAGTATGCTATGCCTTATGGCTTCATGTTGACTGAACTGTTTGACATGCTCAACATTGCTAGGGGATCAACAGGATCTACTATTATACCTGGAAGCAGCAGGGCATCAGAGCTCAGTAAGAGGTTGGAGTTGGCTGTTGAAGAGAGTGCCAAGCTTCGCGAAGATAATGATGAGTTGAGAAAAGAAACCATGCAGCTTAGGGAAGAGCTCAAAAGAGATAGAGAAGCTCATGTTCAACATATTGCCACTCTTGTTAAAGCATTGACCCACTCTACATCTCTCCTATGAACTTGTTCCTTCCTAGTGTCCTTAGTTTCCTTTGCTATCCCACTGATGCTTTAATGTTTTTTATTTCTTTCTGTTCTAGCTGAGTAGCTTGCAGTATGTTTAGTTTGTTTTGTTCTAGTGGTTTAAGACAAGGCCCTGGGCTTATTTTGGCACTACCAAATGACTTCTCTTATAATATTTTAATGCTTCGTACAGTATTGGATAATCAACCTAGTCTGTTTGCCTTGATAATTCTTGAGCTTGTGTTATGGCCTTGAATCTTACATTAGCTGTGCTTCATAAGTCTAACATATTTTTATTTTTTTCGATGATGCCAAAAGAGAGAAGATAAGGTTGGGGGGTTGTGAATATGTTTGTCCATGGTACTTGTTCTGACTACCTTGTTCTAGTGTGTACAAAGTTTTTCATCATTAAAAAGAGAGAATTTGTTGAGTTTTGAGATTTTGATGATTAACAAAGTTTGTTTAGAGGCAATGTTCGAAGAACCAGGTCCTCAACGTAGCTGCTTAATTGTTCTAAGAACCAGCACTTCAGGGTAAAGGACCAGCTCCTCTAGTTGATGATTGTACATCTGTGCAAGACAATAACTTTATCTTAAAATTATCCAGGTCCGAGTTTGGTGGAAAAAGGTTGTTGCATGTGATAAGGGTTGTTGCCCAAGAATATACGAATTAATCAGTAAGAGACAAGAGTCCCAAAACTTGTGGAGTCCTTGGAACAGTAGGAGTCCTATCAAAGGAGAAGCTCACTATGCATAGGACTCCTAGAAGATCTTGAAGTCCAGGCGTTTAAATACTATCTATTTTAGACTTCTAAGATTATCCTTTTACACATCAACTGAAGAACTATATTTTGTTCACTCTAGTCGAGTACCGGTATTGTGCTCTTCTTGAGCCAGTCTAGTGAATGTATTTTAGGAAATCGAGTTGTAATCAAGTGTCACAAATAATTAGTGAGTTGGAGTGACTGTTTGCTTTACAAGTTAGAGTAACTTGTAAATCAAATAGTCGTAGTAGGAGTACTGGAGAGTATTGAATTACAGTCTTGTAATTGATATATTTTGGCTCATTGTTCTAGTGGAGTTGAAGTTGAAATTCCTATGCAGTAGGTCGTGGTTTTTGCACATTTTGAGCTGGATAATTTTTCACGTAAAAAACGTTGTGTTTACTTTACTGCTTATTTTACTTCACGTTTAAGAAACACGGTAAAGAACCAAGTTCTTTAGTAATTCATACGGGCACTCAAACTAATATAATTAATAAATGCTCAGATTTTGAAAATCATATCTTGATAATCATACATATATCAGACTTAATAATTTTTATTTAAACAAGGGAACATTGTTAGCAGATTGACAGTTAAGAAAGCCACCAATACGTCTCCATGCAACTGACAGTTTCTCGTTAACGTAGAGATTCAGAGATACCATTACATTTAGTCCTCCTCTAACCAAAATTTCATTCTCAGGGTTGTGATAGTTATATTGGATCACTCCACCTTTAATTACATGTCTCGATTTCTAGTACTGAAAATAGTAAAAAATGTGGTATAAAGTGTTTCCTCCTTTAATAAATATATTATGCGGCGTGAATTCGAATTAGTCACCCCAATAAAAATAGCGGAGACACAGGAAAACAAGAAAAAACTATTTCTGCAATTGCCCTAAGTTGGTAATGCATCAAATCAGCTTCCACCACGTGTACAAGAAATCTCATATTCCAAGAAAGGACAACTTCGAAGCATAGAATTTGATAGCTAATTTGAGGGAGTGAGAGATTGTGACAGAAGAAAATAGTATTCTATATATATATATNATAATGTGCATGCTGAGAGAGATTAGATAGAAAGAGAGAGGGAGGTGCCTGAGTTGTGAGCTTGAGAACAAATATTGTTAAAGCTTTCATATTTGATGTGAAAAAACAATTTTAAAGTTAAAAGTAGCTAAAGAGGTTGGAACCCTTGTTATTTGCTTTTTGGAATTCTTCTACATCTTTTTGTCCTCTTATCATAAAACCCCATAACTTCTCATCCTTCTCTATTGTTCCACCTTCAGAAGTCCTGAGCCTTCTCTCTCTCGGATCTTCTCTCAGGTCTATTTTTCTTTTTTTCTTGGTTTCACGGTTTTAATTATTTGATTGTTTAGAGTCAAATTCAAGATTTAGAGTCAGTAAATTCTAAATTAACGTAATTTTATTACTATATCTATACATTTTTTTAAAAATAATCTTGTACATGTGTACGAACCCACAGAACCCGTCCTAAATCTACCTCTGCGTTCATTTCTTGAATTGTTTCTCACTTTATTTAGCTTTCTTGCAGTGCTGTCGTGGCTGGTCATCCTTTGTTTTTTTTTTCCCTCCTTTTCTGGGTGAAAGATTAGTCAAGTGATCAATTTTCGAGTTATATATCAAGTTGAAGAGAAGTTGAAAAGGAAATGGTTTCATTGCCTCCTGGTTTCAGGTTTCATCCCACAGACGAAGAACTTGTTGCTTACTATTTGAAAAGAAAGATCAATGGTCGTAAAATAGAACTTGAGATCATTCCTGAAGTTGATCTTTACAAATGTGAGCCTTGGGATCTACCGGGTATTACATCTTTATTTCCCACTTATTTTGTTTGTTGGAGAATTAACTCAAATACTTGCACATTCAATCGCTTAAACTAAAAATATCTGGTAGATGTATAATATATGTATAAGTCATGTATAATATGTGTATAACCATGTGGTAGTGGAATCGAAAATTTTACTAAATGATGTCAAAATATAAAAAAGTAAACACGTGAAGAAAATAATAAGGGGAATCAATATATAATATTCACGCATAAAAATAAATTTTTGACCTAGCTAAACGGTGTATCCGGTGAAGAGGTAATTGACTCCCCTTAGCATAAGGTGGCTCCACCACTATAACCATGTATAACTAGTGTATAATCTATGTATACTACTAAAAAAAGTAAATAATAAATTCGATCGATTATTTGTGTAAAATCCCTTTCTCCTCCTTGTTTTTTTTTTGTTTTTTAATAGAAACAAAAGTATGTCGATTCGCACTTACATCTGGTCATGTATAATTCAAGATGGACAAAAGATTATAAAGGAAACCGTGTGGAAGCATGTGGAATACTTATTAGGTTTCTAAATTATCACTATAACTAGGCTTTAGGAAAGCTTCTTTTTTTTTTTTTAAAGATGAACTGTGTCATTGAAGTTGAAAGCTAAGAGAAACAAAACACTGATTAACCAGAAAGATTAATTTGAAAGTGATTTCCAAGAAAGGTATAACAAAGACATTACTATTTACTATTCCATTTACTTTGACATTAATATTAACGTCACTATCTCATTATAAGGTCATATGTTGTGACATCCACGTATTTATTTAAGACCTTGCAATTAGTTCGTACTCCTTCCGTTTCAATTTACGTGGCAACATTTTCTTTCTATTTGTACTATATTAAAAAAGATTCACAGTTTTCTAAATTTGAAAATAACTTTTCTTAAACATCTCATTCTATCCTTAATGAGAACTTTTATATATTCATACAAATGCTATGAAATATTTAAGATCACAAGTTTCAAAAGTCTTACAACTAAACAAATGTTATAACATATTTATGACCATAAATTTTAAAATATTTAATTTTTTTTTAAATTAAGTGCCTGTTCAAATTTTCGCATAATTGGAACGGGAGGATTGATATAACTTGAGAAAAGGAAATGATGAAAATAAGGAGGAATTGGAGGTAACTGTCTTCTTACTACGTGAAAATGAAAAGCACTAGTAAAATAAAACTGATTTAGTGCAATTCCTTAGAGTTACATTCCATACGCGTACTGACTAAAATATTCGAATTATTGATACTTTGAACACACTTTTGCAGTCAAAAGACATATGCTTTAGTACAAAAATATCTTATAAATGATCTCATGTTAATTCCCAGCTATAAAGGAAAGTTGGACCCTACATCTTTTGATCTCCTATTGAAGCTAAAAGATGTGTACTTACTGATTTAGTGACATGTCGAATCCAAAAGACAAATGGAAAAAAAAAGAAAACATGATTGCTTTGTCTTCTAGAGATACCATTTGTTCCCTTTACCTCTCTTCTTTTTTTTTTTCCCCTTTTTACACCTCTTAATTCTACACGTTATTGAAGCTTTATCAAAAAGATAATACTAACCCTTTTATTTAGCACATTGGTAAGTTCATTTAATGATCATTACAATGGCTCTCCGATCTCCTTGCCCCATCTCTTTTCATTTAGATTCATGACATGGATTCATTACTCCTCAATTCCATTTTAAATTTTATTATTTTTAATATTATTAAAAAATAATAATATAACAACAACAACAATAACAAAAATCCAGTTTAACTCCATTGTGCGATTTGGGAAGGGTAGTGAGGACCAGTGGCGGATGCACATGGGCACTTGTGGGTGCTTAAGCACCCATTAACTTTGACCATATTTAGTAAATTACATAGGTAATCGTACAAATATTTAGATAAATATTGAGTTAGCACCTATAAGTAAATTCATTTTTCCTCTTCTTTTGGAGTTTTTATCGGCGAGCACCCGTAACTTTAAAATTCTGGATCCGTTATTAGTGAGGACGCAGTCTTGCCCCTACCTTTTATAGGTAGAGATCGTTTTTTCTGATAGACATAATTCGGTTCAAAACAAGCATACATAACAGTATAAAAAAAGAAATGCAATACTTTAAAAGTCAAGGAAAACAGTAGCAACAACTAGATAATATAAATATTACGGTAGAAGACAAGCAAAATCAAATGATAATAGACGTCTAAGAATATGGAAATACTGGAATAACACTACGTACTATTGCTGGAATGTTACAGGGAAGTCACTATTGCCTAGTAAAGATCTTGAATGGTATTTCTTCAGTCCCTGTAATCGTAAATATCCGAATGGATCGAGGACTAACCGGGCAACGAAAGCCGGATACTGGAAAGCTACCGGAAAAGATCGGAAAGTGAATTCTGAGATGAGAGCTGTAGGAATGAAGAAAACATTAGTATATTACAGAGGAAGAGCACCTCACGGAGCTAGAACTCATTGGGTTATGCATGAATATCGTTTGGACGAAAGAGAATGTGAAGTTGCTAATGGTTTGCAGGTACATAATATAACTTCTTTTCTAATAAATCCAATTTTGTTTATATTATCAGTGCAATCTGTTGTAAGTAAGTAATCTGTCTCATTTTTTAGATAATTAATACATTTTCGCTCATACAGTTGCAATCGTAGATTTTTACACCATCAAGCTAAGTTAATTTAACTTTCAAAATTAGCTGGTAACTCTTCACAGTAAACCTAATATTGTAGCTAAAGATCGATTAATAATCCGCTATATATTAACTGTGAAAAAAATCTTTACGAGTGTATATAACTTAAATTCTTTATTAATTATCTATAGTTTAGGAATATATGTTGATGTTTATGTTAATTTGCAATGGATTAAATGTAGGATGGTTATGCACTTTGCCGTATATTCAAGAAGAGTTTGAATGCACCAAAAGTGGTAGATCTTTATTATGATGATAATATGGAGAGCTCTGATTATAGAAGACCAACCCAAGGCTCTCCATTTCATGTTGCTGCAGCTGGTCCAAGTGATGATAACAAATGGAGTCAATGTTTGTCATCAGATGAAGCTTTTAGTTTCAACAGTACTACTCCATCAATTCCAAATTATGGAACATTAACATATGCACCACCCAAGGTAATAAAATGTCAACCAAATAATATAATATATAAGCTATTACTTAAGCTTCTAGTGGAGCCAGTGTCAGAGCCAGAATTTTCATTAAGTAGGGCCAAAATATAAAGAAACAAACTTACCAAGAAATCAAGGGGTGTCATTATATAGTATATATACATATTTCAAAAAATATTACCGAGCTATACAGTGTAATTTTCCGGCGAAGGGGTGTCGGTTGACACCCCTATGGTGCATGTGGCTCCGCCACTGGGCAGCGCTACACAAATGTAGTTACTGATTCGCCGGATCCTAGTAGTTTTAGCTTAGACCTTGTGTTTATGTTGATAAATCTACTTAACATGTGTTAATAAACGTAGTAAGTTATTCTATCCTAAAATTTAGGACCCATATACTTAGAATGTCCGCCTCTGGGTGGAACATCCATTTTTCTTTTAAAAATAGAGATAGCTTTTTGTTTCTTCTTCACTCATTTTTACGTATTCGTTATAACTTAACTTATAGACAAATAACTTTTACATTATCATTTTGCACTATCAATATCTTATTATAGTAGATTGTCTACCTTATTTTCAAGTTAATAATTCTACTTGTTATACCAGATTGTTCTACATGTCGTAATCTTTTGCATTTAACTTATATTGTCAGTATAAATTTTTTTTACACTATTAATGTTTTTAGTTGTCTACTTTTTGCTGCTTATGGATCAATGCTATTTATGAAAGGTTACGCATGTACGTAGTTGTCTTTGAAGGACCTGGTTCTGTAAATATTTTTAAGTCATAATTACTAATTAAGGTAATCTTATCTTTTATTTGCATTGTTAGTGTATATATACATGCTAAACTCAGTGTATAAAAGTTAAACTCGCCGTTTATTGTACTCTCTCTTCAGGTAAATATAGCATTACCACCATTGGAGGTTCATGATTTCCCACAATCTGGCTATGTTAATTATTCCACAATATTGCCTGAATCAAGTTATAATATCAATCAAAATACAAATCAAACAGATATTGTCCAACAAATCCTCTCAGTTACTCAAGCTTCACAAGATCATATAAATGAAGATTCATTTGGTGGAAATTATACTCCAGCAGCTGATGATTTTTCATTTCTTCCTCATAATGATAACCAAATTCATGACTTGGGTTCGTTCAATTTTGATGAAGATTTTAAATCTGATAGAATTGTAGAAAATTTGAGATGGATAGGAATGTCGGACATGGATCTTGAGAAGGTACTAATTCTTTACTAATTTAATACTATTTGGTTTTACACATTTTACATAATCCAATATCTATGCATTAAATTTGATTTCCTTTGTAATTGAACAGGCATTTCTTGAGGACTACAAGACGGTTCCAATAGATAATGTTTCAGGTGTCTTGAAAGAAGAATACGAGCTTGAAGGTATTACATATTTTTTTAACTTTTTCTTGAATAATCTCATGTTTCCTAATTATATGGATTTAAAGTATTTACATTGACTGTGTAAAGTTGTTGGCATAACTTGTAAAGTTGTTGGTATAACTTGTAAAGTTGTTGTCATGTGAGTAGGAGGTTACGGGTTCGAACCGTGGAAACAACATCTTGCAGAAATGCAAGGTAAGGCTGCGTACAATAGACACTTGTGGTCCGGCCAGTGGCGGACCCAGAATTTTGTGCAAGCGAGTTCAATCTTAGAAGTATATAAATTTAGTCGTAAAATAGTAGTTGTCAAGTGGGTTCAAATAAAATATTTATGTAAAATTTACACAGCTTTAATCCTAATTTATACATATACACAGTATTATTTTTTTGTGAAGCAGGTTCAGTTGAACCCGCTAGCCACCACTTGGGTCCGTCACTGGGTCCGGCTCTTCCCGAATTCCGCGCATAGCGAGAGCTTTTAGTGCCATCGGACTGCCCTTTGACATTTTGACTGCGTAAAGTTCTTTTTCTAAATTTAACATGTCCAGTAGGTTATTTGCTCTATTTTTTGGATTATTAATTTCACTATGAATAGTAGCATGTAGTTATCTTTTAAATGATCTGTATATTAAAAGCGTAAAAATTACACAGGACAAGTTATACTACTAGAATAAAAGAAATTGCATTGTTAGTATATATAAGCTATGAAGGGAAGCCTTGGAGCAACAGTAAAGTTGTCTCTGTATGACCTATAGGTCACGGATTCAAGCCGTGGAAGCAACCATTAATGGTTGCATTAGGGTACGTTATCTACATCATACCCCTTGGTGTTGCGACTCTTACTCTGATCGTGCGGGAATGCGGGATAGTTTGTGCACTCGGCAGCCCTTTAGTGTATATAAGCTATCCTTTAATTTGTTTTCTTCTTTTTGAATTTTTGATTTATTTGTTGATTGATTACAGGAGACACAAGTGGTCACAACAGCAGCTTCAATGAATTCATAAAAAAAACAGAAGACTTTTCATCAGAATTTGGCAATGACTTTGAAGTTTATGAGAAGATTGAAGTCAACCATAGGATGTTTATAGCTACTCAGCAAGCAGCCAAGACGTTCTATTATCAAGTTGTTCCTTCTACAACTGTCACAGTTCATCGAAATCTTGTTAAATCTGACTTAGTAAAAATACCTCAAAATACACCTTTTTTTGATTGTTTTTTGAGGAAAAAGCTATTGATCACTAGGCCTTGGTTAAGAGCAGTAAGCACATTGGTTGGTGTGATTGCACTTTTACATGCTTTTTGGATATATTTCAGCTTATGTTTGGAAAATGAAGGATCTATAGAAGAAAATATGGAACGGAATGAGAAGAAGAAGAAAGGTCAAGATTGTCAATGGAGTTGCAAAGAAAAGAAATGGCCTTATTTCACCCTTGTATTAGCTTTTTCTACCATTTGGTTGCACTTCCTTAATTCCTATTAACTCTTTGCTTTTTTAAAAAAAAACTTTTTTTCCTTTTTTTTAAATTTTTTTTTTAAAGATTTTCTTGTATTGCTAACCACATTTGTTCTTAGGAAGCCCTGGCTTAGAGCCCCTGAATTTGATACCAAAGGTATCTTGATATAGTTGTATTTGCTTTTACACATCTAATCATATTCATACAGTGATTTATTATTTTGTAACTTAACCTATCAACACGTTCTTGTCTAAATCACGCACTTAATCTGTTATTTTCACGAACTATATTTCGACCTATTTTATTGAATATAACAGGGATCTTATCTTCAGTTTCTATTAATTCCTCTGTAGTGAATGACCACATTCCCGAAATCCATGAGTATAAATGGCAATGTTGATTCCTTAAGAATAAGTGGAGTTTCATTAAAAAATAAAAGTATGATTTCCAAGTTTAGTACACATATATCATTATACTCCTTTGAAATTATGGGCAATCAATGTGAGCAACAGACGTCAATTGGACATTGCAAAAAAAAAATCCTTTGATATGCTAAATGAAAATCTTGTAAGATAAATGAAATAGTACTATTAATCTGATAAGTTCAATATAAATAATTAAAACTAACAAATAAATGCCTCTGAAAATTAAAACTTGCAAAATCTATGGTAGCATTGATAAAAAAGAGAGTAAAAGACTAAAGTTATTCTGACTTATAGCATATGAATAATCTTCTCCAAACCAAATTAGTAGAGAGCAAAAACAAATAATATTTACCATCGAAAATTCAAATACTACTAACACATCAACACCACTTAGCAAAAAATACTGCTCATAAAGAAGACTGCAACAATGAGTTAAGGTACACGGCTACGAGTTTTAGCAAAAAAGATACTATTTTAATTAGACATAAAAAAAATGTTATAAATGATAGCATATCGGGTCTCAAAGCGGGGAAAAAGATAGATTTAAGTGAGTATTTTATTATTCTTTAAATATTTAGCTTTAAGAAAAAAGTTAAAATATGTAGTGAATGACCTTGTGAGTAAGATGACAAAAATAGAGTGACTTTTATGGTGCAAAATAAAGAAAAGTGACTTTCACAAATAATTACCCTTACCTTGTTAGTAATCAAATCCCCAGCAATATAATGGCTTGTCTAACAAGGTAAAACTTTCTACATCAAAATTACGACACCTAAAGTGCTCACAATTGGCAGAGAATATCTAGGCGAATTTATAGAAGAAGCGGTGGGAAGGATTCCGACGAGAGGAAAAATTGTAACCCTAGACCTTTCCAATCTTGTCTACAATATTTGCTTTGTTAGTGCTAAAATTACAGCTTTAATTACCTTGCTTTTAGTTAGTAAACCATCAACTCATTATTCAATATTTCTGAAGGTTGATTACTTAAATTCTTGTGAAATTAGTGATTATGATTAGTAGGTTAATTCCATGTGGGATTCGACTCCGGACTTGTAAACCGAATTATATTTGCAATGACCGCTGGACTTCTTAGGAGGCATAATTGGGCGTGATCAAATTTTGGTGCCATTACCGGGGACTTAACAGTGTTATTAATTACGGCTTGAAGAATAGCTAGAATTCATACTTTAGTGAGCTTTCTAGACTTGAAATTCATTATATTGAAACTCTAACGTTTGTAGTCTTGTGTGTTACAGGTGCATGCCTAGAAACTCCTCAAGAACTGGTGAATTATACGAAGCATTACCAGACCATGAGAAAGCTTTCAAGGTACTAAATTGAGCAAACAAGAAAGACAAACGACAACAGAACTCAACAGAACGAATCGAACTAGACATGGGGGGCGTCAATGACAATCAAAACAACAGAAACAATGCGAATGACCCGAACAATCACAGTGTGGCACCTCTTGTGCCAGAAACAGCCTTGTATGATTGAGAACAGACCACCGCTGAAAATCTGGCAACCACAATTGTTGTCCCTCAGATACAAGCACAATCATTTCAAATCACAAATAACATGCTACATTTATTGCAGAACAAGGGACTATTCTCGGGGTCTTACATTGAAGATCCTCAGCAACATCTGAAAACTTTCCTGTCGATTTGTGTCACGGAAAGGCAATCAAATGTGAAACCGGTAGCAATAAGGATGTTGTTGTTTCTATTCTCAGTGATGGGAGAGGCTCATACTTGGCTCAATTCGCGCCCCGTAAACTCCATCACTGTAATGACCTGGCCGGTAGTTTTGAGTGTATTAGCCATGATCCCTTATTTATTGTCTTCTATGTGTTATACTGTGGTTACGTAACTTGCCGGGAAGTTTGGTTTTAGTTTCGGGTGAGTTTCAGAGTGAAATGGGACACATAGTCCTTAAATTAGAAGTTTAAGTTGTAGGAGTTGATCATAGTTTGACTTGTGTGAATACGACTCCGGAATAAAGTTTTGACGGTTTCAATATCTCTGTATGGTGATTTTGGTCTTAGGAGCGTGTCCGGATGTTGATTTGGAGGTCCGTAGGTCATTCCGATATTAATTGGCGAAAGTTAGAAAGTTGAAAGATTTTTGGAAAGTTTGAATGGGAGTTGACTTTTTGATATCGGGGACGGATTTCGATTCTAGAAGTTGGAATAGGTCCACAATGTCAATTATGACTTGTGTGCAAAGTTTGGTGTCAATTGGAGTAGTTTTGGTATAAAATCGGCATCGATTTCGAAATTTGGAAGTTCATAAGTTCAGTAGGCTTGAATTGGGGTACGATTCATGTTTTTGATATTGTTTGATGTGATGTGTGGCCTAGAGTCGGTCCGTTAGGTATTTTGGAACTTGTTGGTATATTCGGACAGGGTCCCGGGGGCCACGGGTGTGATTCGGATCGATATCGGAACAAAATTTGGACTTGTGCAAATGCTGAACTCCCAGTTCTGGTGTCATCGCACATGTGGTGGGATTGGCCGCAGTTGCGGACTCGCATGTGTGAGTAGTTGACCGCAGAAGCGGGATCGCTTCTGCGATGGAGAAGAGCGCAAGTGTGGCTAGAAGCGCATGTGTGGCTTAGTTGCCGCAGGAGCGCATGCAGAGGTGCGACCTGCCCTCGCAGATGCAAAGTGTGTTGGGCTTAGTCATAACCGTACCTGCGATGGAAATTCCACAGGTGTGGAGCCGCATATGCGACAGTAAGGTCGTAGGTGCGACATAACTAGGCAGAAAAGAGGATTTTTGAGGGTTTGGTTCATTTTCATTTTTGGAAGTTTGAGAGCTCGGATTGAGGCGAGATTTTGAGGGATTTTCAGAGGAAGAATTTGGGTAAAGATTCTTGACTCGGTTTTAATTAATTCCCATGAATCTACTGTTAAGTACACCTTCTAATTATGGTTTTGGAGTTTAAAATTGGGAAAAAGTGTAGAAGTTCTTAGACCAAGTTTTTGGGTTTTGAAAGGCTAAATGAGGTCGGATTTGGATAATTCTTATATGGTTGGACTCGATATCAAATGGGTGTTCGTATTTTATAATTTTGGTCGGGTTCCGAGATGTGGGCCCAGGTCGATTCTTTGGAGCAATTTTTCAATTCTTAGCTAAGATCATTATTTCATTATTTAAATTAGTTTCCTATAGTTATATTTTGGCTAGATTCGAGCCGTTCAGAGTTGAAAAATCGAGGGAAAGGCCTTCTAATTGATTGATTGAGCATAGTTTGAGGTAAGTGACTTGTCTAACCTTGTGTGTGGTAAATTTTCCATAGGATTTGGTATTTTGGTGATAATTTGTGATATGTGAAGGCGGTGTACGCAAGGTGACGAGTGCGTACACAGGCTAAATATTGAAATTCTGGTTTTTCCTAAGTAGTTTCCTTTTTATGCCTTAATTGAGTTACTTTAGTACGTTATAGTCATCATGTTTAGCCTAATTTTACATGTCTACTTGTCTTGTCTCCTATTTGGAACTTGTATCATATGTTTAGTTAAATTACTTGCTTTTCTTGATTTCTATATTCATTACTTAACTATGGAAATTCTTTACTGGAAATTGCTATCCTTGGAATATCATTTATTCAGTTGTTGTGTTTTGGCTTTCGTGTTATTGTTGATGTGATTGTTTGGTTGTTTGCACGAGGTTTCTGTCGTGCGGTTGTTATTGTTTGCACGAGGTTTCTGTCATACAGTTATTATTTTTTACACAAGGTTTCTGCCGTGCAATTGATTGTTGCACGAGGTTTCTGTCGTGCCATTGTGATTATTGATACGCATGCGGTGGTATAAGGTCTTGGTGTTGAAATACATGCGGTGAGATAAGATGGACTTGATACGCGTGGCTAGTAGGGGAACTACTAGAAGTCATGCGGTGTGATAAGGTGGGCTAATACGCGGGATGCTATTTCGGGAAAATGATTTTCAAAAACCAAATATAAAGGCTCCTGCGGTGATATAAGGAAAGACTGTGCTTTGTTTTTTATGATTTGGGACTATGAGGCGGTACCTCAGAAGTGCCCTTGTCTATATTCTTTATTTGTTGTATTGTTTGGTTCTTGTTTTCCTTAACATGTAAAATTCTTGTTTTCTTTTCGTGTCGTATTAGCTTTCCTTGATTCCATGTTGTTATTTCCCGTAAATTCTTTATTGTTCACTTCCCTATCATTTTCATTATATCACATTATCTCTGTCTTGTTTCTTATTATCTCTAGTAGGGTCTTGACCCGACCTCGTCACTACTCTACAGAGGTTGGCTTGGCACTTACTAGGTACCATTGTGGTATACTCAAACTATGCTCCTGCACATGTTTTTGTGCAGGTCCAGGTACATCCTTCAGCCTCGATATTAGTACATTGTGTTGCTACTTTGGAGGCTTCAAGGTACACCTGCCTGCGTCCGCAGGCCTCGGAGTCCCCTTCTACCCTATTTTTCCTTATTTCCTTATGTTTTTTATAGACACTGATGTATAGGATTGTTCAACATTGTATCTAGAGCTTGTGACTTATATCTCACCGAATTTTGGGAAATTGTATGTATTAAGCTTATAGTCTATTGATGAAATTGTTGAAGTTTTGAAATTTTAAGTTATTTTTTATGTTTCCGCATATTATTAGGCTCACCTAGTCTTAGAGACTAGGTGCCATCACGACATCCTACGGAGGGGAATTGGAG